ATGTGGTACTAAGAGGAACAGAGTCACTTAGCTATATGACTGGTACTAAGAGTGAGTGCGTTACATAGCCATATGAGTAGTACAAAGAATAAGTGTGTTACATGAAGATATAAATGGTACTAAGAGTAAATGCGTCACTAAGCAATATCAGTGGTACTAAGAGCAAATGCCATAGTAAGCTATCTGAGTGGTACGTAACTCATTACTTAGCCATATGAGTGGTACTAAAAGTGGGGTCGTTACTTAGCGATATGAGTGGTACCAAGAGCGACTGCGTCCTTTAGCCATATGAGTGGTACTAAGAGTAAGTGTGGCACATAGCGATATCTGTGGTACTAAGAGTGGTACAAAGCGAAATTGCGTTATTTAGCCCTATAAGTGGTACTAAAAGTAAGGTCGATACATAACGATACGAGTGGTACTAGAGTAATTGTGTCAATTATCCATATGAGTGGTACTAAGAGAATGTGCGATACTTAGCCATATGAGCGGTACTAAGAGTAAGTGCGGTACTTAGCAATATGTGTGGTAAGAGTTACTGCGTTATATAGCTATATGAGTGGTACTATGAGTAAGTGCGTTACTTACCATATGAGTGGTACTAAGAGTGAGTTACATAGCGATATGAGTGGTACAAAGAGTAAGTGCGTTACTCTGCGATATGAGTGGTACTAAGAGTAAGTGCGTCACTCAGCCATACCAGTGGTACTAAGAGTAAGTGCGTTACTTAGCAATATGAGTGGTACTAAGAGTACGTGCATGAATTAGCGATATGAATGGTACTAAGACTAACTCTATCACTTAGCCATATGAGTGGTACTATGAGTAAGTGCGTTACTTAGCCATATGAGTGGTACTAAGTGCGTTACTTACCGATATGAGTATACTAAGAGTAACTGTGTCGCTTAGCCATCTGAGTGGTACTAAGAGAGTGCGTTACTTAGCCATATGAGTGGTACAAAGCGTAACTGTGTTACTTATTGATGTGAGTGGTACTAAGAGTAACTGCGTTACTTATTGACATGATTGGTACTAAGATTAAGTGCATCACTTGGCCATATGAGTGGTACTACGAGTAACTGCGTTACTTAGCGGTATGAATGGTACTAAGAGTAGGTGCGTTACTTAGCCATATGAGTGGTACAGAAAGTAAGTGCATTGATTAGCAATATGAGTGGTACAAAGAGTAACCGTGTCACTTAGCCATATGAGTGGTACTAACAGTAACCATGTTAGTTATTAATATGGGTGGTTAAAGAAACTTTGCTACTTATGGATATGAATGTTACTAAGAGTAATTGCGTCACTTTGCCATATGGATGGTACTAATAGTAACTGCGCCACTTAGCCATATGAATGGTACTAAGAGTAAGTGTTCACTTAGCCATATGAGCAGTACTAAGACTAACTGCGCCACTTAGCCATATGCGTGGTACTATGAGTAGGTGCGTTACTTAGACATATCAGTGGTACTGAGAGTAAGTGCGATAATTAGCAATATGTGTGGTTCTAAGAGTTACTGCGTTATTTAGCGATACGATATGTATTATGAGTAATTGCGTTACTTAGCCATATGAGTGGTACTAAGTATAAGTGTGTTATTTAGCGATATGAGTGGTACTAGGAGTAAGTGCGTTACTTAGCCATATTATTGGTACTAAGAGATAGTGTGTCAATTAGCAATATGAATGGTATTAAGAGTAGATACTTCACTTAACCATATATGTGATATTAAGAGCAAGTGTGTTTGTTAGTGATATGAGTGGTACTAAGAGTACGTGCTTTACTTAGTGATATGTGTGGTACTAAGAGTAATTGCGTCACTTAGCCAGATGAACGGTACCACAAAAAAATGCATTACTTTGCCATTTGAGTGGTACTAAGAATAAGTGCATTAATTTAGCGATATGAGTGGTAGTAAGAGTACCTTCGTTACTTAGCGATATGAGTGGTACACAGAGTAATTGTGTTACTGGGTAATATGAGTGGTACTAAGAGTCAATGCGTCACTTAGCCATATGAGTGGTACAAAAAGTAAGTGCGTTAGTTAGCTATATGAGTGGTACTAAGAGGATGTGTGTTACTTAGCAGGTGTTCCAGTTTGCTTAGCACTTTCGAATCTGAATCTGGATCTAGCCGCCATGGATCTTGCCGGGCTGCTTAACTTGTTCGCATTAAGAGCTCTCCTGACTTCTGCTTTCTGGATTCAGCTTTTCGCAGCTCGCAGTTTGATATAACTTTTGTTCCTCCTTAACGGGCATCATATCTGACTCGTTAACGGGCTTCTCCAGATTTTGTGCTTCTTATCTCGAGGCTCTGCAAGTTAAGCTGCAGATCCCAAGGCTGGTAAGAAAATCCGGTAGGTGATGTAACGATTTCGGCTATACACCTACACTCTTACAGCTTATCAAGTCCTTGGGACTTTACAACTCAGGGTTCTCCACCTTGGAAACTCAGCATCAACTTCTTGAACGCTGGTCAACATGCATTAGCTTTTGGCTAATTATACGGGCTATTATTTGTAGCTTAACATCATCCAACCTTCACAGTTCTCCGAGATCTCCTTGTCAGAACTATATAGCTTATACTATTGTGTAGGCTATAGTGGGGTATCCCATAGGGGGTACAACCCAATTAGGGTTTCCTATTTGTACTCACTTCTTTCATAGTCATTCCATTCTCGTTCTCTCTTTCACATGGAATCAGAGCAGGTCCCCTACTAGGGACTGTTTCTTGGGCCCACCGAAGCGCGCCCCGAGGCGCGCGTCCTTTTTTTTTTTTAGCGACCCGTCGAGCCGCCCTACCTTGCGGCCCCGCCGCCCTATCGCGCGGCCTCGCCGCCCTAAGTCGCGGCCTGCCCGCCGCCCTACTTCGACGGCCCCGCCGCCCTACGTCGTGGCCCGCCGCCCTACTTCGACGGCCCGCCCGCCGCCCTACGTCGCGGCCCCGCCGCCCTACGTCCCGGCCCGCCCGCCGCCCTACTTCGACGGCCCGCCCGCCGCCCTACGTCGCGGCCCCGCCGCCCTACGTCCCGGCCCGCCCGCCGCCCTACTTCGAAGGCCCGCCCGCCGCCCTACGTCGCGGCCCTGCCGCCCTCAGCTACGCGGCCCCGCCGCCTTCTGCTACGCGGGCCCTGCCGCCCCTCGATCGCGGCCCCGCCGCCCTCTGCTACGCGGCTCCGCCGCCCTCTGCTACGCGGCCCCGCCGCCCTCTGCTACGCGGCCCCGCCGCCCTCTCCTACGCGGCACCGCCGCCCTCTGCTCCGCGGCCCCGCCGAGCCGCCCAGCAGCAGCCGAGCCGCCGCCGAGCCGCCGCCGCCTGAGCCGCCGCCCGGGCCGCCGCCTGCGCCGCCGAGCCGGAGCCGCCCGAGCCGCCGCCCAGCCGCCCAGCAGCAGCCGAGCCGCCGCCGAGCCGCCGCCGCCCGAGCCGCCGCTGAGCTGCGACCGAGCCGCCGCCCGAGCCGCCCGAACCCGCCCGAGCCGCCCGAGCCGCCCGAGCCGCCCGAGCCGCCGTGCTGCTGTTCCTGAGCTGTGTTCTTCTGCTGCTGACCTACCCGACTCTCCCAGCCCGGTGAGACTTCCAGCTGCTGCCATGGCCACCCCCAATGTTCTTACTTTTGACGCTGAGGGGAGGGCCATTGACTTTGCCGTCTGGATTGAAGACCTGCAGCTGTACTTACTGTGTGATGCGATAGATGAGGTCTCTCTTTTTGACTTTGTCTCTGGCGCTGTTCCTGCCCCACCTGCTGATGCTGACTCTGCCCGTTCGCTCCAAGTGGGCGACCCGCGATGCTGCTGCACGTCTTGCTGTGCGTCGCCACCTCCCTTCCTCTGAGCGTGCCCCACTTTAGTCAGTGCAAGTCCGCTCAGGCCTTGTACGACGCTGTAGTTGCACGCTACTCCTCCCCTTCCTCCGCTACCCTTAGCCGCCTCATGCTACCATTTCTCTTCCCTGACCTCGCTTCCTTTCCCACTGTCGCTGACCTCGTTACCCACCTCCGTGCTAGTGACACCCGCTACCGCGCTGCCCTTCCTGCTGAGTTCCGCGCTGCGAACCCTCCTCCCATGTACATCACCCTCTACTTTCTCGTCACCCGTCTCCCTGAGTCCCTTCGTGTCGTTAGGGACCAGTTTCTCTCTGTCTGTCCCACCACTCTCACTGTCGACCTCCTTGAGGAGTCCCTGCTAGCGGCTGAGAAGAGTATTGTCGCTGTAGGGGCCTCTCGGGGTGACCCTCGCACCCCCATCTTTGAGGGTGTGGTCCTTCCCCCCTGCTGCCCTCTGTCGCCTCTGCCGCTGCGGCCGACCTCACTGGTTTTGAGTCGGTCGGCGCGGCGTCTGCCCCCAGCGGCAGACGCCGCTCTGGCAAGAGCAAGGGGGGCAGGGGAGCGGGTGGAGCTCGAGGGGGCGGTGGAGGAGGCGGTGGGGGTGGCGGGGGGAGTGGGGGTGGCGGTGGGGGTGGTGGCGGGAGTGGAGGTACTGGTGGCGGCGGTGGAGGCGGAGGGTGGCGGCGGAGGTGGTAGCGGAGGAGGCGGTGGGAGCGGTGGGAGCGACGGTCCTGGTGGGGAGGTGGCGGTGGAGACGGGGGGTGGCGGTGAGGCGGGGGTGGCGGTGGAGGCGGGGGTCGGAGTGGCTCGTCCCAGCGGAGCAGCTCTGGGGGTGGTCAGCGCCAGCAGCAGCAGCAGCAACAGCAGCAGCCGCAGCAGCAGCCACAGCAGCAGCAGCGCTCTCGCACCGTCCCCGGCCCTCAGCAGCTCCGTGAGTGGTACTTGCAGCGTCAGCGTGGTGGTTGCGCTTGGTCCCTGCCCCTACGTTCTTCGCACAGGTGACCGTGCAGGGGAGAGGTGTGGAGGCGCCCACACAGCCCGCCGCTGCTTTGGCCGCCTGACCGACGCCTGGCGTCAGCAGTTTCCGGAGGCCGCTGAGATCCCCCGCTGGGGAGAGCTGTCTAGGGCTGGTGTAGCTATTTATGATCTTGATTTTGATGCTATTCTCTCTGCTATGTATGCTGTGACTGGTAGTGATGAGGATGACTGTTACCGGTGTTTCCCCGCCCGACCCGGCATTGGTACTGCCGCGTCATGTACTAGTGAGGCTGCTGCTCTAGGTGCCAGTGCGTCTGTGCTCTCAGGTGCTGGTGAGTCTGCCCTCTCAGGTACTGTGTCGGCTTCGGCCTCTCACACCTTCACCCTTGACTCTGGAGCGTCTCGCTCCTTCTTTAGGGACCGCACCACTCTCACGCCGCTGAGTCGGCCGGTTGCGGTGTCCTGGCTGACCCCTCTGGGGGGCCTGTCCTGTCTCGCTTCTCCACTGTCCTCCCGTGTCCGGCGGCCCCCTCTGGCACCCTGACTGGTCTCTACCTCCCCTCGTTCTCGACGAACTTGGTGAGTGGTGCTGACCTCCAGGATGCGGGTGTCCACCAGTTCACCCCTGCTCGTCAGCGGGTGACCCACTGCACGGAGGCGGATACAGGTCGCCACCTGGCTACGTTTACACGTCGGCCAGGGTCGAGCCTGTACACACTGACCACTGCTTCTCCTCCCAGGTGCTGAGTCTGGTAGGGTCCCTTCGTCTGGTCAGGTGTTTGCTGCAGCGTCCAGGTCTGGTCCTGAGTCTGCCCCTTGCTCGTGTCGTCGTCTGTCTCACGAGACCCTCCTCTGGCACCACCGCCTGGCCAACCCCTCTCTGCTTCGGCTCAGAGGCATGGCCTCGCGAGTCCTTGTGTCTGGTCTTCCCCCGGTCTCTCCCTCCCCTTCCTCCGGGCCTGGCCCTACCTGTGTCCCCTGTGTCGAGGGGCGCCAGCGTGCTGCCCCTCACTCCTCCCAGTTTCCTCCGACAGAGGCCCCGTTGCAGACGCTTCACATGGACGTGTGGGGCCCAGCCCGCGTCCGTGGACAGGGTCAGGAGCGCTACTTCCTTGCTGGTGGTTGACGACTACTCGCGTTACACCACAGTCTTCCCCTTGCGCAGCAAGGGTGAGGTCACTGCGGTGTTGATCGACTGGATCCGCGAAGCTCGTCTCCAGCTTCGGAGGAGCTTTGGCTCTGACTTCCCTGTTTTGCGTCTGCACTCGGACAGAGGCGGAGAGTTCTCCTCTGGCCTCCTGAGTGCCTACTGTCGTGCACGAGGCATCCGTCAGACCTTCACGCTTCCGGACTCACCACAGCAGAATGGGATTGCTGAGCGCCGCATTGGCATGGTCATGGACGTCGCTCGTACGTCCATGATGCATGCGGCTGCTCCCCATTTTCTGTGGCCGTTTGCGGTCAGGTACGCTGCGCACCAGATCAACCATCCACCCCAGGGTCTCTCGACCGGAGACCTCCCCAGCCCTGCTGTGGACGGGGAAGGTTGGCGATGCTGTCGCGTTCCGGGTCTGGGGATCTCGGGCGTTTGTTCGCGACCTGTCTGCGGACAAGCTGTCCCCTCGTGCTTCTCCCTGTGTCTTCCTGGGGTTCCCCCCCGACGCCCCTGGGTGGCAGTTTTACCACCCCACCTCTCGACGTGTTCTGTCCTCCCAGGACGTCACGTTCGACGAGTCGGTACCCTACTACCGCCTCTTCCCTACCGCACTCCGTCCCTCCCCCCACCCCCGCTCTTCCTGGTACCAGGTCCCCCCCCGGTAGTCCCCCTCCCCCCTCAGGGTCCTGCCCCTTCAGGTGTGTCCCAGGTAGACGCGGTCCGAGCCTTTCGAGGTCACTGGTGACTCTGGTGCTGCTGCGGGAGCTGAGCCTGGGGGTACGGCATCTGGGGGTGCTGAGCCTGGGGGTGCTGAGCCTGGGGTGCTGAGCCTGGGGGTGCTGAGCCTGGGGGTGCTGAGCCTGGGGGTGCTGAGCCTGGGGGTGCTGAGCCTTGGGGTGCTGTGCCTAGGGGTGCTGAGCCTGGGGGTGCTGCGTCTGGGGGTGCTGAGCCTGGAGGTGCCGAGCCTGGGGGTGCTGTGCCTGGGGGTGCTGAGCCTGGGGGTGCTGTGCCTGGGGGTGCTTCGTCTCGCCGGGAGCCACTCTCCCCGCAGGAGCTGCGTGAGTGGTTTGCCAGGCGCTGGAGGTAGTGCTGCTGGTGCTGGTGGTTCTTCGGCTGCAGAGGGTACTGCTGCCTCGCGTCCCGCCGGTGCTCGTACTGTGGGTGCTGGAGCTGCTGGGTCTGAGAGTTCTCCTGGAGCTGGTGCTACTGAGGGTGTTGGCGCTGAGCCTGCCGTTGGCGGTCCGACTGACAGTGCTCCTGGTGCTGCTGCTGGAGGTTCTGGCAGCTTCTGGTGGTGCTGCTGGAGGTGCTGCTGGAGTGGGTTACTCCTGCCGGGGCTGCTGGTACTGTTCCTGCTGTTTCTGTGTCGCCCGCGCGGCCCCGACCTTACTTCGTTCCGCTCCTGCAGCAGGTTCTTGGTCTTCCGCCTCCTCCTCCTCCTCCCTTAGAGGGTCCCGCAGGCCTGTCCGGTCACAGCCACAGCTACAGCCTGCCTCCCCTTTGCCTGCTCCGTCTCCCGACCCTGGTCCGACTGGAGGTCTTACTGAGCGTCGTGAGCCTGCGTCTCGTCCTGGTCGCCTGTTCGTACTGAGCGCGCTAGTGGTCGCGGGTCGCAGTCAGCGTCCTCCTCCTGTTCCTGGCACGCACCGGATGTCACTGCAGTCCGTCCACTGCTCCTCTGCGTGCCCCTTTGCCTTCTCCTCCTGCTTCCTCTCTTCCTGCTCTTGCCGACCCGGAGTCGGACTCGTCTTCGTGCTGCCAGTCCTACTGTCACGCGTCTCCTTGCTACAGCTGTCACTGACCCTTCCTTCGAGTCGTCTGCTGCGTCTGCCCTTGTCACTGAGCTTGTCGACTTTGCTGCGCGCTGTCGTCTAGACTACGCTGCCCGTCTTGTCACTGAGTCTGAGTCCGCCTGTCCTCCGTCCGTCGGGGGTGAGTGTGCCCTTGGCACGGACGTCCTTGAGGACAGGCAGGAGGGAGTTCCAGTGTCTAGCCGCCGCTTCACCTCGTCTCGCGTCTGTACTGCTAGCCCCTGAGGGAGACCCGGATGCACCAGACATCCCGACTCCGCGCTCTTACGCGGAGGCGATAGAGGGTCCCTACTCCTCTCAGTGGCAGGCAGCTATGGATGCAGAGATGGCTTCCTGGAAGTCCACAGGCACCTACGTTGACGCTCTTCCCCCCCCTGGGGCGAACATCGTCAGTGGCATGTGGATTTTCAGGTGTGAAGCGGCCGCCGGGTTCTCCGCCTGTCTTCAAGGCGCGTTACGTGGCTCGTGGCTTCAGTCAGCGGCAGGGGGTTGACTACTTTCAGACCTTCTCCCCCCACCCCGAAGATGACCACTCTTCGGGTCCTGCTGCACGTTGCTGCTCACCGTGACTACGAGCTGCACTCTCTCGACTTCAGCACAGCTTTCTTGCAGGGCAGCCTGCACGAGGAGATCTGGCTGCGTCGCCCACCTGGCTTCACTGGGTCTTTCCCTCCTGGTACCCAGTGGAGTCTCCGGCGTCCAGTCTACGGTCTCCGCCAGGCGCCACGTGAGTGGCACGACACACTGAGGACTACGCTCGCGGCACTTGGGTTTGCTCCTTCTACTGCCGACCCGTCGCTGTTTCTGCGCACCGACACCTCTCTGCCGCCGTTCTACATCCTCGTGTACGTCGACGACTTGGTCTTTGCCACAGCTGACACTGCTGGACTCGCCTACGTGAAGTCCGAGCTGCAGAAGAGACACACGTGCACCTGACCTGGGTGAACTGCGCAGCTATCTTGGCTTGCAGATCACCCGGGACAGAGCACGCCGCACCATTACCCTGACTCAGTCACACATGGTGCAGCAGGTCCTTCAGCGCTTCGGCTTCACGTACTCCTCGCCTCAGGCCACTCCTCTGCCTACTCGCCACTCGCTCTCAGCTCTGCCTTCGGATGAGTCCGTAGAGTCGAGTGGCCCGTATGCAGAGCTTGTTGGCTGCCTCATGTACCTGATGACCTGCACACGACCTGACCTTGCATACCCTCTTAGCATTCTCGCACGCTATGTTGCTCCTGGGAGACACCGACCAGAGCACATGGCTGCAGCGAAGAGGGTGTTGCGCTACTTGTGCAGTACGTCGGGCATGGGGCTAGTGCTTGGAGGGCGCAGTCCAGTGGTCCTCACTGGGCACGCGGACGCTTCTTGGGCTGACGACCAGGCTACGCAGCGGTCGTCACAGGGTTACACCTTCAGCCTTGGTTCCGGCTCTGTTTCGTGGCGGGCTACCCGCTCGTCTTCTGTTCTCGGCTCCAGTTGTGAGGCTGAGATCTACGCCGGGGCTATGGCTGCAGAGGAGTTACGCTGGCTCACCTACCTGTTGACCGACCTTGGAGAGCAGCCTCGTTCTCCTCCAGTCCTGTACGTAGACAACAAGGCCATGCTGGCCTTGTGTCGAGAGCAGAGACTGGAGCACAGAACGAAGCACATTGCTCTCCGCTACTTTCTTGCTCGTGAGCTACAGCAGCGTGGACAGTTGCGACTTGCGTACGTGGCCTCTGAGGCCAACACTGCTGATGTCTTCACCAAGGCACTTGCGCCTTGTGATCATCAGCGTTGTTGCACGCAGTTGGGTCTTGTGCCTGTCTTGCCTCACTTGCTCTCCTCTTGACCTTGCTTGTACCTTCGCCTATATATACTCTTGCTCTTGCTTACTTGACTCTTGTATATCTCTATATATGATCTTGCATGTGAACTGGCCATGTGGCCTTGAACTTGTGCTCGGAATGTGTGGTGACTTTGTGATCCACCCTGAGCTTTGCTTTGCTTTGCTTGACTGGTCTTGTGACCCCTTGTTCTCCCCCACTTTGCCTATGGGGGTGTGTCAGAACTATATAGCTTATACTATTGTGTAGGCTATAGTGGGGTATCCCATAGGGGGTACAACCCAATTAGGGTTTCCTATTTGTACTCACTTCTTTCATAGTCATTCCATTCTTGTTCTCTCTTTCACACTCCTCTGCCTTTTAACCTGCCCGCCACAATGTCCCCGAAGGCCTCCCGCAAAGTTGTTACGGAGATCACGCCTGACCCGGAAACGCCGCTGGTCGTCATGCCTCCTGCACCTGATGGCAAGGAGAATGTGAAGTTGAAAGATGTGTCGTCTAACCTGGTGACCAACACGGCAACTATGGTTCCTCTGGCCTATTGATTGAGGTCAAAGCTGATGACTCGGTGACCGGAGAGGAGCTTCTGGATTCCGATGATAAGCTTGACATCGATTTCAAGACAGACAAGTTCTAAAATCTGCGTCATACAGCTATCCTATTGATCCCTTTCAAGCTCACTTAAGAACTTGCATCGGTAGTTTCGATCGTCAAAGTGCTGATGAAGTGAGCCTGGTGCCCTGACCTCTTGGCTGATGTCGTTAATGTCAATGGGAGTTGTGTTTGGCCCCGTCTTTGCTTGGGCGGAGCCGACCTTATGGTCGCATGCCGATCAGTAGCAGTGGGCACAGGGACCATTGCAAGGGCGCCGCCAGGAGGACGCCGTCCTGGACATCTGAGCGGCGTCCTGAACACCTGCAGGCGTCCTAGGAGCCTGGACGCCACACCTGGGAATCTGCACGGCGCATGGAGGCTAGATGCCGAACTGAGGCGGAGCGCTGAGACGCCAACCTGCCTGTGAACGTCGTCGCATGGACGCCAGGCTCCTGGAGATAGATACTGAGCGTCGGTACGCTTGCTACATACCTGGGCGATGGTGTGTCCTCCGTAGGACGTGAGTGGCGCCAGGTGCATTGAGGGGATGCCGATTTGGTGTAGCCGGCTACCGACTGGGTGGACGACAGGCGTGTTGCCCGGTCAACCGGGATACCGGGCGATGTGTGCGAAGGTCGTCGAGGTGGTTATGCAAGGGCGACCTCGGGGGCGGTATCCCAAGGTCGACGTGGCTGGTGGGCGCGTCGCTAGCGTGAACTCGATCTGGGCGTCTGCGCTGTGCATGTGATGAGAAGTGGTGTGCACCAACCAGCCGCACGCACCTGCGACGCAGGTGCACCGTTGTCCTGCGGGTGCAATGCTGTGCAGCCGACTTGCTGCAGTACTGGCACACCATGGAATTGCAACGTTGGCGAAACGCTTCTCTGCAATACTGGAGCGGTGCGGGCTCTGCTACGCTGGATCGCAGTCGCTGGAGGGTATAATCGCGGAGATAATTCGTGCAACGGGAGCTAGACTACGGACTAGGCACGGGGCAAGAGCATTCGTAGCGTTCGTTCGTTCCTTAGTGTTTCCAAGTGCTAACACTGCTTGCTAGTTCACAGGGAAAATTGGCAAGAGTTTCACTAGGAAAACATGAGAACAAAAGTTCAGAATGATTGAACCAACATTGGCAACACAGACTACATCAGACCTAGCAAGGCTGCTGGTCGACTGCCAGCGCAGCACGCTCGACCGCGTGCCAGCACGACTTGGTCGACCGCGCTCCAGCAGAGCAAAGTCGCGGCTTGCCAACGTTGCCAGTCCGCGGTGTGTGCCAACGCTGTAGAAAGTCAGCTGCACAGCGTTGCATCCGCGGGACAACGGTGCACTTGCTTCGCAGGTGCGTGCAGCTGGTTGGCACCCAACTCCCCGTCACATACCCAGCGCATACACTCCACTCGTGACGGCGCCCACCAGCCACGTCGACCTCGAGATACCACCCCCGAGGTCGTCCTCGCAAGAAACCACCCCGGCGACCTTCGCCCACGTCGCCCGGGTCTCCCAGTCGACTGGGTATCCCGCGGCCCCCATGTCCCCCGCTCGTCCACCTGCGGCCACCGCGGTCCCCGTGGTCCCGTGGTTGCCCCACGACCTCCCATGGTCCCGCAGCCCTCCCACGGCTCTCCCGCGGCCCTCCCATGGTCCCGCTCTCTCTCGCAGCCCCACGGTCCTCCTGCGGTTCTCCCGTGGTCCCGCAGTCCCGCGGTCCTCCCGCGGCCCTGCGGTTCTCCCACGGTCCCGCGTCGGCTCCGCCCAAGCGAGGACGGGGCCTAACACTACCCCGTTGACACTCCCCTGCCGCATTCATTCTTGGGCCCCCCAGCCCACACGGATACTACTCGAAGAATAGCCCTTCGGCGTGCACACAACACACAGCACGCTGGTCACCGCACAAGCCATGCAAGAGGGCATGGCACCTACTGCTGCGCGTCGTTGTCGCCGTCGCCCACGTTGGCCAGCCGCACTTGGCCGATTGCGACGGAGCACAGGTTGAAGGCCGGATAGTGTAGCGCTTCGTCAAGAAGTTAGCTGGCTGCTCAGTGGTCGGGATGTACTGCAGCGAGAACTTCCCGTGCCTCACCATGTGCTGCAGCCAGGCCTGGCGCCGCTCCATGTGCTTGAGGTTGCCCGTCAACCCCATGCCCTCGGCGACTTGTTGTCCACTCTGAGGACAGTTGGCTTCCCGGCATCAAGCTGTTGGAACTCCGCGAGGAGGAAGCAAAGGCGACGTCCCTCCTTGCCGGCTTCCATGGCCGCCACGTACTCCGACTCGGTCGACGACAGCGTTGCGCACTTGATGTGCTGGCTCGACTAGGAGACTACAAACCCTCCGTAGACGAACACGTAGCCGCCCGTGCTCATCCTGTTCTGCTTGTCACCAGCGTCGTCGGCGTCCACGTAGCCAACCAGCTCCAGCGACTCAGGACCACCGCCGAACTCCAAGGCGGTGTCTCGCGTGTTGGTGAGGTAGGTGAGGCAGCGGTCGACCTCGCGCCAGTGCTGGTCGCTCCTCACCGTGAGGCCGCTCCCCAGCTTGCTGCACGCGAATACGATGTCCGGCCTCGTCGTCGTCGCCGTGAACTGCAGCGAGCCGACCTTCTACCAATACTCCTCCTCCTCGCGCTCCTGCGCCTCCTCGTTATCGAATGTCAGCTCCGCGTAGGCGGCGACAGAGACCGGCGTCTCCGGAGTGCGCCCGGTCTGCTCCTCGACGAGATGAAGCGCCTGCGCAGCTTGTCGGGGTAGCCCTGCTGGTGCAGCCACAGCTTCCGCACCGGCCTGTCGCGCACGATCTCGAGCCCGAGGTACTTCTGCACCAGCGAAATCTCGCGCAGCTCGAAGGCGGCTTCCAGCAGCTCCTTCAGCTCCTTCAGCATCGCGGTGCTGCTGCTCGCGGTGAGAAGGTCGTCGACGTAGACCAGCACCCAGCAGGCCACCTTGTCGTCGCCGACCTTGAAGTACAGAGCCTCGTTGACCTGGCTCTTCTTCCACCCAGCGCCGACCAGCACGTCGTTGAGCGCCAAGTACCACAGCAGCAGCGACTGCTTCAGCCCGTACAAGCTCTTCAGCAGCTTGCACACCCAGCCGGTTCCGTCGTTGAAGAAGTCCGACTGGTACATGTATAGCACGCGGTCGAGCTTGCTCTGTGCAAAAAGGCGTTCTTCATGTCCAGCTGCATCAGGTTGAAGTCAAGGATGGCGAGAATGCTGAAAAAAAATCCTCAGCGTGACATAGCTGCCCAACGGCGCAAACGTCTCGTCGTAGTCGGCGCCATATACTTGCGTGAAGCCTTTTACGACCAGCCTCGCCTTCTCGCGCTTGAGGGTGTCGTAGATGTGGTACTTTGTCGTCAACACCCACCGGTTCTTCATGATGTTCACCCCCGGTGGGCGTTCGACTAGCTCCCAAGTGCCGTTGCTCATGAGGCTGCGGATCTCCTCCTCCATGGCGGCCTTCACCGCCGGACCCTTCCAGCTCGCCAGCGCCTTCTTCACCGTCATTGTCGCGATGTCCCAACGGTGCTCGGGATCGGCGTGCATGTCGGGGCCGAGCTCCGGAAATTCCTCATCGTCCTCGGCATCATCGTACGCAAGGTCGTCGTCGTCAATGTCATACACGTGGTGAAGGCAGCGGGGACGAAGAAGTCGGGAGGCCTTCGGATTCTGCCTGTTTGCCTAGGTCTAGGCGGGACCCCCACCACATCGCTGTTGTCCTCGGCGTCCTTGGTGGGCTCCGCGGCGTCCGAATGCTCCCCGTCGTCATCCCTCGGTCCCGCGGCTCCCGCGGTCCCTCGGCTCCCGCGGTCCCGCGTCACTGCCCTCAGCGTCCGGCTGCACCACGATCGGTGGCTCGGGTGACTTCTCCCTTGCCAAATGCTCCGTGATCGGCTTCGCGTCTGCCTGCTCCCAGTCTGCTGCTCCCCTGTCACCGCGGTCCCGCAATCCCATGGTCCCGCGGCCCCTGGCAGCTGCTCCCCTGTAACCGCGGTCTCGCGTTCCCGCGGGTCCTACGGCTTGCTTCGTCTTCTCCCGCGTCCCGTCACGTCGGCCACCGGCGATGTACTTGGCCGGCGCCACAGGCGACGTCCCACTGCTCCTCTCATCGCTCGAGGCCGACACCGGAGTCAGCCTGTGCAGGTCGACGGGAAGGGGACAGGAAGAAGGGGTATGGGAAGGCGAGGCAGGGGTGACTGCGGCATCTTCATCAGCCGGCTCACCGACCTCGGCGAGCAGAGGAAGCGTGGCCGTCAAGGTGTCCGTCGGCGAGGTGGTTCGCGTCCGCCCCGACGCAGGCCCGAGCTCCGACTTCCACACCTCCAGCGACAGAGTTTCGTAGAACACCACGTCCGACGTGGTGACCACCGGTTGTTTGCGATTTCAAGGAGCTCCCAGCCTTTGCTCTCCTCCGA